ATATAATAATATTAATAAAATATATAAAAATTTAAGGTTGATATTTATATCATTAAACATAAATAATAATTTATATAAGAATTACAAACATTTTTAATTTATATAATGCTTAAATAAATTTTTCATAAATTTTCTATCTATTAGATGACTGGAAATTAAGTTATAAAGTCGATCGGAAAACTTGTTAAAAATTGAGTGGGATGATATTAAATTTCTCAAATCAATGTGTTTATTTAAATGACATGTTTATGCGTTAATTTACTGTATCAGTTAAAATTAATATATGGGCACAAGCAAGACGCGTTCTGTAATATTTGCGCGAGTTAATATAGTATATATAGCATGATAATGTAATGTACTCTTGCTTTTGCCATTTATACGTACATTTTTCGAAATATCTTGTTATTAACATATTAATTGCAAAGTTATGTTAATGCTATCGGATATTATCTCGGATCGAATCCTTGCGCTCAGCACCGATGAGTCTCTGTGATAATGTAGATCATTATTAACAAGCAACTGATAAGGAACAGAATTCTAAGAGACAAAATTATACAAATTTCTAATAACTATGTATAGAAGTTATATTCACAGTATTCATGAGAGATCGAAATTATTTTTAGCAGTTATTATTAAATTATTATTTTAAAATTATTTAAAATTAATAATTGTTAGATGCTTGAATTCAAAATCGATAGACAAAATCACGGTGCATTTACGCTTACTGACGTATATTGTACTGAATTATTCCATAGCATGTCACGAAGGAGACAGGAGGGAAGCGGGTTACACGTTATTTACTATAATGAAGATATAGCGGCCGTAAGGCCAGCGCTCGAAAATAACGTCTGGTCACCGCGATTGAATCCTGTGTTAATGTGGCAAGCAACATCGGCCATTCGGCACTACGTGACGAATTTAATGACATTCCGTGGCCGACGAGATTTGCACATAATTCCTCCGACGATGCATATGGCGGTGTCGATAACGGTACAATCCGCCACAATCACACGTCAGCAGTCCTGTCTAAACTCTTCTCTATGGTTTATACTTTGTGCCTCGACCTCTGCATTTTACACAGCCACTAGCCGTAGCTCTATGGTAGCAACGATAATTCAGTTAAACGACACGAGTAAACTCATGGCTGCAACGGGCCGGTGGGCAACTTTTCACTGACAGGAATATATCAAGAATGTTATTTTTAAACGCGATTCCGCGGAACATTACTTCGGCTGACATTTGCAAAAGATTCTTTTCGGTGAATGTTAAATGTAATGTAGTTTAATACAATGACTATTTGCACAATGATTCTGAGGAAAGGCTATCTTTATCGCGAGACGAAATGAAGATTAGTTTATTTCGAATTTGAAATAGCAATGGTTGCATTTTTTAATTCATGAATTATGACGAAATAGTTGTAGCCAACTGGATTACCGTCTATTGCGAGCTAAAAGTTAAAGTATATATATCGTTGTCAAGTGTGCAATTTAGTCAATTTTTTATTAAGATTTGGGAAATTTAAAGATATATTAAAAGAAAGATACACATAAATCTTAAATTATATCAATTAAAAATACACGAAAGTTTATATAAAATATTTTATCTTTATAAATTGGTTATTAATTTTGTATGATTAAATAATTTATTTTATATTTATTTATTTTTTTTTAATATTTATAGTATATATATATCTTAATACTTTTTCGCGCAATTTATATTCAGTCTTTTAGAAATATTGAATCATTTTTTCGATGCATTCTATGCATGATAGATTATCCATGTCCACATACACTTTTTTATTAACGTAATATATATGTACATATACCAGTAGCATACCTACTGCTTTACATTCATACCACGCACAGATATCAAAGGATGGAAAATTCATAGCACTGGAATATTTCTATTCTCCGTGCAACACCATGCGGATAATTAGTAAGCGGTTCATTGTTCGTTTGTCGGCGTACGCATAAAATCGTTTTTTCCACCGCATTCGTATACGATAAAATCTTTATTTCTCATAAGTAGGAGAAGCAGAAAATGGCTGGCACCGCCATGGCTCATCTTCGGATCGTTTCACGCTCGATGAGCACCATCGAGAGAAGGCCTGAGGCTTGCTCGAATCATTCCTAGCCCAGTAACAACGAGTTATTAAATAATTATATTCGCATCGAGAAGAGAATAGCGTCTGCCTCTTGATTTGACGCACCGATAACTGGGCACAAAAAAAATTCCACCTAAGAATCGTAAGAAAGGATATACATTGACCTTGTAGTACCCTTTCTTTTTTCACTGCTGATTAATTAATAAATTTAATTAATAAAACAGTAAAAAGAAAAAAAAAGAGAAAAGACATTTGTTAACCTTAGAATTAAATATTTAGAAAAACATAATCTTTGATACTAACAATAAGTAATACAAAACTTACTTTAATCAAAACCAAAAAGCAAAAGAAGAGCAACTTAATAAATATGTTGATTATTAAATTGAGAATGTATTTTTAAAATTTTGTTGGATAAAGAAGTAATTACAATTTTTTTAATAATAATAGTAATTATAATTTTTTATTATACTATAAGCAAAATATTTTCTGATATTCAAACTCAGATGAAGTAAAAAAGAATTTTTTATTGAAGACGTGTTACATAAATGATAAATTTTTATAATACGGAAGAATATTAAATGTTTTTCCAATTTTCCCTTGATACAAAAACATTCGATTAAATTTAAATCGTTTAATCAAATCGCTCGGTATAGCGCGCTTGCGTATGACTTTATGCTCATCATATCGTGTCCGAAATCACGAAAGGCGGCGTACCATCATGACCTTTTTCGTTATTACGAAAGAGAGGAACCTGATGGAAACTCGCTAATGGAGGACCGGACGGCGACCTTTCGAAAACAATCGATCGCCATAGCGGTCCCGGTTGTGTTCCAGGAACGAGCGAGCCTTCCGAGTGAAAGTCCCTGTGTAGCATTGGTAGCATTCCGTCGTTTCTTCACCGATATATACCACACAGCACGCTGCGGCAAAGTAGGTCAGCTGCAAGACATTGCACCACCTTCCTTCCACTATATCAAACCCTGTTTCGTATCACGGGATCCTAGTAACGCGCGGTGCACGCCGACGTTGGCTGATTGATCGAACTTCCTGTCGAGGAAGCTATTTTTTTAATCCTACTATCCGATGGCTATCTCTACCGATTATGCGTTTCTGCTAGAATTCACGGTGCTTCTAAATCGAATTGCGTAACACGCAATTAGCAGCTCTGGAACGCTTTCTATTTCCAGCGCTGAAAGAGCGAGCGTTAGTTATTCCCGGCGAACAAGCGCCGCACGGAGTTATTTCATTGCAAATTAATAGCGATATCGCAACACCCGTGTCAAGTTAATCGAGCGCGGACATCCATTCTTGCGAATCACGTGCGCGGGCGTGCAAATTATCTCCCTCCTCCCTCATTCAGTCTCACATGACATCAACGCTGTCTCCCGCGGAAATCGTTTAAAAGTAGCACCGTGCATGTCGCTTCGAAGAAGATCCGCCCCGTTTTAGGCGGCTAGACGGAGGAGGTTCCGTTCTCTTATCCGATCCAAGAGCCAGCTGGCGCGCCTTGACAGAGAGAAGGCGGTAGTTAAACTTAACTAACGGCTCCATTAAAGTATAGCGCTAAGTCTAACGAAACTCACGATCGTTTTCTCCTCGGCGCGATGCATCGCTTCCAAGGCGACACGTCTCCCGCTCGGAGGAGATCCGTACGCCAGCGATACCGGTACCGGAAGTGAGTGCGCAGATCTCTCCGACAGCAACGTGGATGACGCGAGGTCACGGGTGATCGATGGCTCAGGCGATTGACGCCACGGCAATTGATCATCTGACTCGGGGAGTTTGTTTTTCTCCCACTGCCGATGTCGTTTGACCGGTATTCGGTGGCAGGTACGCGCAGGTACCGGACGCGTGTCTGAAATAATATCTTCTTCTTATAATATCATATCTCGCTAATCGCCAATAATTTTTCGTACTCGACGAACGAAGATAATATTATTATTTACTGAATGCAGAGATAACATTTCATTACATGTTCATATTATATTTAAATAGATTCGTCATCGAGTTACTAATATAACATACATATTTGATCAATGCTTGTTTAATAAATACGCGGTTATGTGTATTCACTTCTAATTTAACATAATAATCAAAAATATATACATATTGATAAGTAACAAATACCTCGATATAATGGAATCTTAAAAATAAGTAAGATCTAAAATCAATCAATTTCTGATTTATCCTTTTGTCCTTTCGAATTTCGTTATCGTTGTTTATCTGAGTAGTAATGTAAATTCCGGAAATCACACACACACATCACTTCCTCTATTCCTGCATTATACGAGAAACCGCGGTATTCTTTCTACCCTGGGAGAGCGCGCGGCGGACTCTTCCTGGACCGAAGGTGGCGGGTCATCGTACGAGAGAAAGACTTTCTACTTCTGTACTACACACCGAAGACCCGGTCGGCGAGCGATCTCTTCCTGCACGATGTAGATTACCCGGCGAGCATCTCTCCTTACAACGAGATACCAGTTAAGCGATAAGCTACCGTGCAACTTTCTTGGTGCTTTACCACGCTCCGCGTGGTATCGCGCGCTCTTTCGGCATGATTTCGCTCTCCGCGGATGCCTTTATGCAAATGCACGCGTGCAAGAAAATCCTGTTAACAAAGCTCGCCGCTATCGTGCCGGCAGTTTTTCCGCATTCTTATAGAGTACACCGTTATATATATCCGTGTATCGCGAGTAATTTTTTTCACGACCTGAGAAAGTCGTGCCGCTTGCAGTAAGCATAAAAATAATATATTTTAGTATTTATCTCTGCATTTGTAGAAAAGAATATTACAGGTATATAGAGATATTTTATTTAGTATTATTTAACATTCTTTTTGTGTATAATGGACGCGATATACGAGATTTTGTCGAGATAAAAAATTTATTTTTTAATCTTTTCTTCACAGAAAAAGAATATACATGTATATTTTTTATCAGTATAATATATATGTATAATCATAAATAAATTATAATAAATTAACAAAGCTTTACAAAAATTATAATGCTGAAAGAGCTAATAAGAGTATTAATTTTTATAATAATAAGATATAAGATTAAAAATTAATCTTTAATTTTGATTATTATAATAATCAGAAGAGCTCTTAGATAAATTAAAACGAGAATGGATCTGCGAGAAAAGGTTTAGCAAGAGAATCTTTAATTTTATATAAAAACTTTAAAAATATATAAGCTTAGGAATACATTAATTAAGCGATATATTTTTCAAATTAATATTTCGCTTGCCGCTTGATGTATATTAAAATTTCCAACGACTATATCCTTCTTCCCGATTTATACTTTGATTGCTATATCACAAACCCGAGTTATCGGCAACCGTTCTCGCGACTCCACCTTTCCTCGGTACCTCTAGCTGCGCTTCTTGCACGCGTACGCCGACGCACATTCGATCCTGTTTATAATCAGCGTTGCGTTATAGCGCATAAAGTCGATCATGCCGCACCAATCAGATCCTCATCTCCGGACTCGTAGTTGCATACGTTCGCTTGCTTAATCCGGGGGGGTGGGAGGTAGAGGGGGAAGGGCTCACCCTGTGATACATATCGCTTATTATTATTCCTCGAAGCTGTCCAATTACCTTAGCCGGCGCCGCAATTCGCGCTAATGGATCGAGAAGCACGGCACGTCGTCGTGGCGAGCCGCGGGGGAAATCGCCACGGCATACGGCGTTCCTGGATTTCTTTGGCGGATTTCCAAACGCGCCGAACGGCCTGAACTCGCCCCGGAGGAAAAGTTACGTTTACCTAAGGTTTCGATCCTATTTCCGTACGGGTCGGTGACCCGATCTCTGTTTCTCCCTCCCTCTCTCCGTGTGTTCTCTATCTCTCTCTATCTTTCTTTATTTCCTCTCTTTCTAATCGTTCTCTTGTATGATTTCTGTCCCGCTCGCTCGCTCTCTCTCGTATCGTCCTTCATCACTCTTTGTCTCCTACTGTGTCTTTCACTTTTGCCACGCCATATCTTACTCGCGCCGTTTCCTCGCTCTCTTCTATTTCCAAGTTATTCCTCGCTTCGCCCTTCGCCCTTCGTCCTTTCCTCTTTCTCCCCCTCGAGAGATTTTACTTGCCCATCTTCATCTTCCTATCTACGCGCTCGTTTATTCGCTCGCTCCCTTCGCACCGTCTCTCATTTATCCATTCAATCTCTCTGTCTTTCTTCGCCTCACAATCGTACATCTATTCGTCGTTCTTCTCTCTTTTTCCGTTTCTCGTCGCAATCGTTGAGGCAAGAGCCTCGGCGCAACCGACAAACCTTTCAGCGTTTCGCGTTGCACTGTACACCTGTCAGGCGTCGCGTAATTGTGAAACGACTTTATAGCCTGGACTGATATCCGCAAAGGCACACGGCGTTTCCTTCGTTCCTCTAAGACCGGACGTTCTCTTTTAAGCGCGATGGACGACAGATATTGCACATCCGCGAGATGTCTGGTATTTTCAGCTGCACTTGCAGTACATGGCATTCAGTCGATCTACTTGTGTATATATTTCGGTCTCTGGAATGCATGAAGAAATTTCTAGAATACTATCCCAAAAGATTACATAATAAATGCGAGGAAAAACAAATGATCAGAACTTGCTAAAACTAAATTATCTATTTTATATCGTATAAATATACGATTAATATAAATATTTAATAATTATGTGAATAATATTAAGTTAATTATTATTGAAACTTTTATCACAACATATGTATATTTAACAGATTTGATTAACATTTGAAAGTCTCTAAATTTATTTTAAATTAGTACAGATTAATCTAAAAAGAAAAGCTATTAGTATTCTAATATACACTCAATAGTATCAACCGAAATTATTTACGATATTGCATTTATATTATCTTTTCTTTATACGTAATTAGTCATCTGTCTTAGGTCGAGATGTAACCAGAGATAAATGATAGATTCTTTTTATTCTTTCTAAGAAATGTCGCATACGATGAAGTTATGCATTGGCGGCATCGTATTTTTCATATCTGCTGCCACGAAGGAGGCCGATCGGTCAATTAATTACACGGCAGTGATCGTTCAATAATTAATGCTGGAGCCACGAGATTCTTGATGCGTTCGATGTGAATCCGGGTGGCCCACAAATATAGGGACGTATGTGTACGAACACACATGCAAAAACCACGCCTCTTTCCTGCATGCCCGCGAATCAGTAATAAGCCCATTAATTTTTCTCGAGGAATGCATAAGATGCACCGTACAAATTCGAATGTATGTAAATGTGTTAGGGTGAGCTTGGATAAATACTCAATCTGTGTTATATTTAAATATTTTATATTGCCAGAAAAGATTTCTCTCTCTTTTAAAAGAGATAAAGATCCAATATTCATCACTATATTTATTTTATTTCTTTATATGTATATATTTTAAATAAAATTAAATGCTGTTTTTTAAAATTTAATTTTGGAGCAAAATATTTGATTTATTAATGCCATCGTAATCTTATTATGTTTGATACGAATTTATGATTTTTATTTCTAACGCGCTCAATAAAAATATATTTATTATTGTATCGTTATAATTATTAAAATTGTAAAGATTCCCCTCGACGATAAATAAGGAGCCTGTTGGAACAGGAAATTTCATCTAGTGTCGCATATTACAAGAATATAATTCTGCGACATTGCTTCGCTCTTGTCTTTTTTTTCTTCCCGCCAGCACCTCGATGAAGAAACGGTCGCTATTTTCGATGCGACGCGCTAATCATTAATTAGCTCTTTCTTGAATCAGAGTCTGACCGGGTTGTTTCGATCCTTTTTGCCACGACGATGAAGTCCGCGGCAACGACGACAGGACGTGAACGAACGGCGGGAACGCGGGTTTGACATAGCGAACGCGATGGAATGTCGAAGCATAACCATTTTCACGAGAACAGCGATAATTCGTTTGTACATTTCTTCGTCGAGCGGAAATTGGCAAGACGGTTTATATGCGGAGACACTAGCGTTCCGATGTCTTCTATATCTTTCTGCGAATTCATCGTATAATCAGTTTTATTTTCTCTTTTTGGAATATGTTGAAAAAAGGATATCTTGCGAAAGAATTAAATTGAGAAAATTTTATATTATATATTTTCTTTAATAAAGTAGTTATATTAATAAGAATTCGGCTAAACATAAGCTTTTTGGAAATCTGTCAATTAATTAGATTGTTCAAACTAGCAAAATGATATAATAATGATTTATTTATCAATCACACGGTAATATTAATTTAATTACACAGTGATAAATAGTATACATTTTATAATGTTAAACATTATAATAGTTTGATGTTTAATCCTTTGAATTTAATTTATGTTATATGTATTGGTTCGGTATGTTGTCTGCCAAAAATAAGTATTCATAGCAACAAGCGATAATATCTGCAATCGCTTGTAGACAACATTCTCTCTATAATTTCAATATTTTACTTAACATTTAATTACAAAGTCTTTAAACAACTTGACCTATACACGCGGGACTTCAGAACGATTTCTCGTCCCGAGGGTTCACGCGAGGGAAGCGCATAAGATGCTAACCAGCGGATATTAATCACGCGTGCGATGCGCGGATTTAGTTGTCCGTCGAAGTTGTCGGGTCTCCTGCGGCGTCATCTCTTTACAGGGTGTTCGTAGGAAGCTGGATGGTCCGACAATATCTGCACCGTTATGTCCTGCGTTGTGCTTAGTTTCGCGTCGAGGCCCATCCGACGGCAACCGTCGTGATAATCATCGATATTTTCTCTTCCGCATACCGATTTCGCGGCTGAACGTGACCCGGTGAGCAGAAATTGCGGCGTGCGGTCGATACCCGATACGATAATGGGCAACGACGCAGAGAAATTTCTCTCCATGGCTCCGGGTAGGCCGTGACGCTATACATGCTCGTAGGATCCGCGAGACTGCCGATTTTGCGATAAAAATCAGAAAAGTACGCGCCGGCGCCGATGGGGTTCAGTAGATACTCGAAATTTCAGTAGTTCCTCCGTATGTGGCCGAATAAATAAACAACAATCATCATTAACCTAAATATTTTACGCCATATTTTATGAGCACAATCTATGCTTTGAAAACCGATAAAATAATATATTTGTGTCCTGCGTACTATAATAATTAAATGGTTGAACCGATTATAAGATATATAACAAAGAATAAAAATTATATAGATAATTATAATACAATAATATATACAAAAAATAGAGAAGAAAAAATGCTGGTAAAAGAAGCGTTGTTAAATTAATTAAAATAAATATCAGATAAATAATAATTCGACACTATTAGATACATATAGAACGATTTACAAAACATATATATTTACTTAATACATATGCGGAGAGATGTATATGAGAAAATACAGAACATATTTGCGTCACTAATGCTGATTATATGTGCGCTTCTGTCAAAGTGCTTGTCGATGGAAGGGTTCGCTATCATCAGCTATTCGCTCGCGGCGATGCAGACAATCGAATAACGAATTGACATAACACGGTGTAATTACGAGATCTCGTACTCTCAAAGGAACCGTTTAGCGTGCACGCGCCCATGAAAGTGCGTAACGTCGCGTGTCCTCTCGCCATGCCATCAAAGAGTTCTCCTATTTGTTCTGCACTTTAATAGCGCGTCTGTGATCCTCGTAACGTGGATACGCGGAGAAACGCGTTTCTCTGTATGTACTTGCCTCTCTTTGTCTCTCTCTCTCTCCTTGCCTTATTCTTATTCTTTCTCCTTGTTGCTTGTCTCGCTCGCACCGTTGGCGGTGGTTCTCCAGGATCCGAGACATAAGCCGCCCGTGGAGAACATATTTCCCAAGAGCAACGTCAATATTGACGCATCCTCGGTGCAAATCGACAAATGCGTTTTGCACTTCTGGAACTTCACGCAATACAACGGACGCTACTGCGATGGGTTTTGTAACCTGGATCGGGCGTCAATAGCTTTCGTTTAAGCAGCGGAAGCTATAAAAGGCGATTATACACTTATCACATTAACCCTTAAACGCCGTATTCGAAATACTTCGTTTGGTGTTTTCTTATTTGCATCTCATGTTTCTTGGATAAAGATTTTTTTTTTTTTTTTAATATGAACATGTTTACAGGCAATTTTCATCAATACAATTTTTTTTAAATACATTTTGATCGGAAATCTGTGATTCTTATTATTAGGCGAAATTATCAAAATTATGTAAATTATTAAAGATTATGAAAAAATATAGCGATTTAAAAATTGAAAAATATTGAGATTCCGAACGATTTCAGCAAGACAATCCTTTAATCAATCATTCAGCATTCCAACGGTCTCGCGTTCTCTGATCGTTCTTAAATGATCGCGTGTGCTGATACTGTCTCTTCAACGATACGTAAGATAACGTGAGTAATAAAAAAGTATCGCAGCTTGTAAGTGGCGCGAGAGCGCTTACAACGATGGCGATACTAATTTCACCTCTGCATTCCATCGGCGCGTTGACTTTGCCGCCTTATGACTGCTGACGAGCGCGAGCGAGGTGTGTCTTAAAGCGGTTGCAGTCTCGCCGAGAAACGGAATTTTTATTGCTATACCGAGAAAATGAGAGAATGTGTGACTGGGAAAAGCGTAGATTGCGGACACATGATATTAATGTGGAAAATTTTTACAAAAACAATAGTGCACGAATCGCATGAATTAATGATCGAACATTAATGTACGTTTCATATCTTACGCGTATTTAACACGAAACACGAGTCGATTCTTGTCTAATAATAATTTTATATTTTTTATATGTGTTATTGTATTTTAAGTGCGAAAAATTTTTGATAAAAATGAGAACGTCTTTAAAGAATATCGAGTGATTTAAATGCAATTAGCGATAATCTGATTCGAAACAATACTAATGCATCTTATCTATTTATGTATATCTTTGAGCGTGTATTGGAAAATAAAACCGATCTCGATTAAACTCGACGAAATTTTCATTTCCGTAAACACGGGTATTAATCACGCCTTAGGGGAATCGCTGTATCGGAGATTATCATCCGCGAGTAATTAGATTGTGTACTTATTAACAAGAACACCGATGCACGTCGTGCTTAATGGTTGTTGCCTAGCGCGCTTGTGATTACCGGCCGATATAATTGCCCCGATGACCTTAAAAGCGCCGTGTACGAGCATCGAGCGGTTTTGAAAGTCGAAAAAAAGTGCTCGGCACGTAATTTCGTCGTGAAGTCGTGGTTGACATTTAGAACACCCGTTATACAGCAACATTCGTCGACGTCATGCGGCTACCCACGCGGCGTCTCGTATACACGGATGCCGTTATTAATGCGTATAATTATTAATCTATACGTATTTATGTAATAATTAATGGGCGAATCTTTTTTTTTTTTTTTAATATGAACATGTTTACAGGCAATTTTCATCAATACAATTTTTTTTAAATACATTTTGATCGGAAATCTGTGATTCTTATTATTAGGCGAAATTATCAAAATTATGTAAATTATTAAAGATTATGAAAAAATATAGCGATTTAAAAATTGAAAAATATTGAGATTCCGAACGATTTCAGCAAGACAATCCTTTAATCAATCATTCAGCATTCCAACGGTCTCGCGTTCTCTGATCGTTCTTAAATGATCGCGTGTGCTGATACTGTCTCTTCAACGATACGTAAGATAACGTGAGTAATAAAAAAGTATCGCAGCTTGTAAGTGGCGCGAGAGCGCTTACAACGATGGCGATACTAATTTCACCTCTGCATTCCATCGGCGCGTTGACTTTGCCGCCTTATGACTGCTGACGAGCGCGAGCGAGGTGTGTCTTAAAGCGGTTGCAGTCTCGCCGAGAAACGGAATTTTTATTGCTATACCGAGAAAATGAGAGAATGTGTGACTGGGAAAAGCGTAGATTGCGGACACATGATATTAATGTGGAAAATTTTTACAAAAACAATAGTGCACGAATCGCATGAATTAATGATCGAACATTAATGTACGTTTCATATCTTACGCGTATTTAACACGAAACACGAGTCGATTCTTGTCTAATAATAATTTTATATTTTTTATATGTGTTATTGTATTTTAAGTGCGAAAAATTTTTGATAAAAATGAGAACGTCTTTAAAGAATATCGAGTGATTTAAATGCAATTAGCGATAATCTGATTCGAAACAATACTAATGCATCTTATCTATTTATGTATATCTTTGAGCGTGTATTGGAAAATAAAACCGATCTCGATTAAACTTGACGAAATTTTCATTTCCGTAAACACGGGTATTAATCACGCCTTAGGGGAATCGCTGTATCGGAGATTATCATCCGCGAGTAATTAGATTGTGTACTTATTAACAAGAACACCGATGCACGTCGTGCTTAATGGTTGTTGCCTAGCGCGCTTGCGATTACCGGCCGATATAATTGCCCCGATGACCTTAAAAGCGCCTCTTCGATGTACGAGCATCGAGCGGTTTTGAAAGTCGAAAAAAAGTGCTCGGCACGTAATTTCGTCGTGAAGTCGTGGTTGACATTTAGAACACCCGTTATACAGCAACATTCGTCGACGTCATGCGGCTACCCACGCGGCGTCTCGTATACACGGATGCCGTTATTAATGCGTATAATTATTAATCTATACGTATTTATGTAATAATTAATGGGCGAATCGCGCGCGACCGCTGTACGTTCGACTGCGGAACACGAATGTCGAGAGGCTATCTATCAACGTCCCACTTTGGCATCGCTATTATGGTTCCCGGGCGACCCTAATGTCATGAGAAAGAGGCGTGGACCGCACGCGGAAGAAAATTTCAATCCTTATTAGCTGAGCAGAGACGATCATTTGATCACTTCTTACAGACTCGCTTCTCTTCTTATTGAAAATGTTGGTTTTGTACCATTAATTATCGTATATCCCGCTGTGCTTCTTTTATAATAATCTATCAAACTTAGAAATTAAAAAACTCAAAATAAAAAGAACTGATTTATTCTCGAAAGATGTTATGTAAAAAATTATAATAGATAATGATAAAGAACAAAATTTATAGACATATCTAATAGATATCATTCTCAAAGCAAATAAGAGGAGAGAAATATGAAATACGATGTAAAATTTCTTAGAAGAGTTGAAATCGGCCATTAATGCTACTTCTATATCGTTTAGCTATAAATACATGCTTTATAAAAGCATTAATGATAGCCAGCGATGAATTTATAGCGATATCGACGATTAAGAAAAAGAAAAGAGCAAAAATTAACAACTTAAAATAAAAAATTTCTGATAGAAGACAAATCTATAAAAATCATTTATGTCACTATGGAAAAACTTATACAAGAACACACATACTATTTGAAATTCTTTTTTGCACGCACACGCGTGCAGTTTATATAGTTTCATACATTAATTATAATTTTAATTATTTAAAAAGAGAAAGAAATTTTTAGCTCTTTTAATGATATACGTAAAAAAAGGGCAACTGATTTTACAAAAATTAATTATTAGAAAATATTTTATATTTTAAAAACTGGTTACATTTTTTACGTATATCATTAAAGGAGCTAAAACTTTTTGATCAGTACTAAAATTTAAAGATATCATAAATACGGAATAAAGACAGAGCCGTAATGAGAGAGAGACCGCGCTCCAGTATACTTCCTTTGCTTGACTTCTAGTACCGGTTAGGACATGGTTATACGTACACCATGCTTCCAAGTAAGTCCCGTGGTTAAAGTTGCATGAGAATGAACCTCCGTTGACCAAAACGAGCATTCAAGACGGCTGGCTGGCCCAATAGGTTCCCTTTTCTTCGAGATCTGGTCGCGGAATACCGTAACGTTCCTTCTTGCGGACCGCTTCCGATGAAGCCGACCTTCTTTATGCCGTTCTTCGGCGGCTCGCGATCTCCACGCTCTTCTGGTTAAGTGTTGATTCGTGGAAATCTACGAATCGAATAATGCATAACGGATTGTCGATCTAGCGAAGCAATTTTGCTAAAAATACTTTTTCTCTTTCATTCTAGTATAAATGGTTTGCTATAAAATTTTAAGGCCACATGCTTATACAATATATATTATACTAATAAAACTTTTCATTAAATATTATTAGTAAAAAGAACGTAATAAAAGGGAGAGATATTATATTATACAAATTTGAAGTTAGATCCACTGAAAGCTGAATATTCAGATCGTATTAAAAGAAATACTATAAAAACTGTAAAAATAATTAAAATTATGATTAGATTATTATTTCGCAAAATGCGTTATATGTATTATTAATGTGTATCTATTAATGCGTATATCGCTTATAAAGACAAATTTATGTTTCATATATATATTTTTTTTATCAAAATATTTTTGATAGAAATCTGTATATAACAAGAGAAAAAAAGCAAAAAAAATATGTAGATATTATTCTATAATATTATTTTTCCGTGTGATTTAGATTATTCTGTCTTAAGGTAAACGGAGTAGTCTAAATCAAATGTAAGTGGCATTTGCGATCAAATTATTTTGAGAAGATACACAAAGCTCGAACGGAGAGAGCAATATGCTTCTCAAGAGCGGTGAAGAAGCGCGAAGACAGCATCAAAGGTGGGAAACCTTCGAAGAATCTTTAATAAACACCACCATTGTATGCTAATCCATAAATATGCTCTGACTACGGTGCAAGCTTGCGTACAAACCAGCTGCGCCATGCGTGCCTGCTGCGTACACGTGCGGCTCTTCTCGTCTAATCGAGCCTCTGGACGAATGCCAAAAGTGAAAATTTCATAACATTCTGTAAGAATACGTTTTCGATATTGATCGAATATCGTTACGTCATTAATTTATCGCCTCTGTTCTTGAAAATTATTTAATTCTTTTCGTTAATATTTATTCCTAAATGCTATATTATTGAAAATTAATAACGATGTTAGATTATAAAACAATTATCAATAACGATGAAAGATGCAAGACAAAATATGATAACGTATAGGACATATGTATTTCAACATCCATCGAATTTAATTATGTTATTCTTTTCCACGTGGAAGAAACTTCTACGAAATAGCTTTTTTGAAATTTTATTTTCTTTATAAAAGAGAGAGAATTACTCATATATATTATACATATATTTATCAAAAATTATGCAGAAAATATTTTGCAAAAAGTATTATGACACATATCGTTATGACTCTAAAAAAATTTTATATAATAAATAAATACGTTTTTCTTTCTTTCTCTTTATCTTTATATTTGATAATATTATCAAATCTGAGAGAGAATAGGTCATGGCGATCGAAGTTTGAGGTCGTTTGAAAATAATTATTTTATTACCAAGTTTAACGCGAGACGTTGCGGAACTTTCTTTTCTGGAGAAAAACTCAGGGACTTTACAAAGTTTTCCACGGCGCCTAGGAGGAACATGAGGATAACAGGAAAATTCAATTCGTCGCGAATTTAATAAGAAGTATACGATCGGATTTGTATTACGAGGCGAAACTTTATTTATTGATAAAATTAAAGAACATTTTGTTTTGTCATTTTCCATCTGTTTTTATATTGTTTTCTTTCTATTTCTCTCTCCTATTGAGAGGATATATATATATCCTTTGAAACATTTTCTATGTATGACGCAATCAATTAATGATATCTTTATTCTTTTTCTCTATAAATTTATATATAGACCAACTTTTATGCTATTTAACAAGGAAAAAGTATATTTAATATCTAAAACTGTAATGTATTGTGTAAGTTAAAACATTTTATGAGATTTATTATACATCTTCTTTAACTAATCTCGGTATATTTTTCTTTTTATTTTTCATTAATATTTGTAAAAATTGTATTTATTAAAGAGTGATATTCTTAAAGCAAATATTTCGTGTAAGATGGGAGAGAGACTAGTAATATACATTGGTCTATTTAAGTGAACTTACATACAGTAAACTATTTAAGTAAAATTACAGTAAATTATAGAATAATGCATTCAAGATTCGATTTAAATCTTAAAAAAATGAAAAATGACACCGGAATAATGTAATGATATATCGTTTACTGGTAATAATTGTAAGTGGGCGAAAGGAAATCCGAAAGAAAGAGTAGCACCGTCTTGGGGCTATTCACTGATGGACACATAATACACATAAAATATGACACATAATCTGCCATTTATGTGTTATACACCACGTGTGTTTTCATGGCGTTTTTACATATATTCATTGTACATTGTACGGGCTCAAAGGAATAGGACGAGAGGCGTAATATGAAACATGTATATCGATAGCGTGCCGAGGAATCATTGAATTTTAAACGATCGATGCTTGCACCTTGTTCACGCCTCTACTCACCTTTCCGAATCACGACTGTCGAACGATTAAGTATTTTTCAGGGAGGCACCACCGTGCGCCTGGCGTTACTATTACTTCGCAATGACGGCAATCTTGTGCCGAACAACGGTACTCGGATAGTAAATGATAGGAAAATAATGGTATAATTTAGAGATTTTTTAGTTATGCATGATGTGTGTTGCACAAGATGTTTTCTATCATTATGCGCTTTCTCTCGGTTGTGTGGATGCTCGACAAGATAAAAAAGATATTGTTTCAATATTGAAAGAGACATTAATAATATCTATATTGAAAATAACGGAAAAAAATGATCGCGGCAATTAAGAGAACGTTATGGCTCATTAATTTTAATTTAATTTTCAATTAAAGTTTTTATTATCAAAATAAGTTTTAAAAAATGACGTGCCATTATATATCTAGCATTTTCTGCTGGCATATCTCGCTTTAAATATTTCCAAAAATCTTAATATATCACTTTGATAAAATAAGAATATTGTTAAAGCTTGTTGTTTTTAAAATTCATTAAAATGCTTACAATGTTGTTATATATATGTCTAGAAAATATATCAGATAGATATGTCAATCATATATATATATATCTAACAATAAGTATTTTATTTAATTTAATTTTGAATATTTATTTCGATAGTAGGTCCGAAACTTTGAAGTCTCGAACTTTGAAATCTCTCAGAGTTAATCAAAGCGATGCGTCGCGTTTTTCGCGGAGACGTGGACGAGAAGCGTTAGCGGTATTTCCCGCCGCGAATGATGGTGGCACACGCGGTTCCGTCTTGAAACGCTTTAAACCGTAGAAAGGCGCCGCCTGCGGCGCAGCTCCCTTTGTTGCGGCGCACCGACGACGACTGCAATGAGACATAAATTGCAATTAGCACCATCGTATCTGCGACGCGCGCGAGAGGGTAAGATATGTGCGCGCGCCGATGTTGCGCCGCGTTAGGTTTGCTGGCGCGCATCAGCAGCATCGTTGCAGTTGCAGCCAGAGAGATTCTAAAGGATCTGGCCGACTACAATGCGGCATCTTGGCGTTCTCTCTAACGAGAGAATGCCCGTTCACCATCGAAGTAAAATATATGGGCAAGACACGCGATATGCGCAGAGCGAGAGTTTTTTTATTTCTTCGAGATTGCGGCTTTTTTTCTTTTTTTGCTACAGTCACGCGCGCCAGGAATGCATCGAATCTGACGCATTTCTCAGATGACGTTAATTCCTTAAGTATCTTTGCTATGCATTTTTTTCTTGAACTCTTGCACCGTATCTGGTATATTTTTTGTTTCAATTTGATCGAGCAATTATATATGGAAACATTTCTAAGGGATAACGAGCAGTAGAATATCGCGTGACGATAATAATTTGAGATTCGGATTATTTTAATTTATATATCAACATAAGGGATGTGTCTTAATATTATATAATAACTAGATTATATAATAACTACATTGTTAAATATGTATACTATAGAAAAAGTCTAGTGATTAAATTTAAAAAATAAATTTCTTGCATAAAATTAATTTCTTGCTATGACGGTTATAGAAATTAAGATAAATTAAAATCGATGGAAATATAAAATAGTAAGCGAGTTTTTCTATTTAAGAGACGATTCATACCACACACCATGATTCATACAATCCTATCGTTTGTTGCTGTTTTCTAAAATTATTATAATACAACGACTAAAATAGCTTCGTATTTTTCGTCTAAAATAAAATATACGAAGAACGAGTTCGATATATAACTGAATACATAAACTTTAGAGATGAGTGAAAAGTAAAAATGCATCTTTTCACGTTTTACGCGCTTTTAAATCATTTAAATCGTGCCCACTTTTTGAAGTTTACGAGGCTTAAAACAGCATAATAAGAAGTTCACCGCGGAACTGGCGAGCTCGCGTAACAGCATTCCACCGAGGTTGCAACAAAGGAAGCCCATAAAAAAAAAAAGAAAAATCAGAAACGGCTCTATATCGCCGACATAAGTCACGGTAACACAGTATCATAGGGATCGGTTATAGATTTGCGATCGGAACGTTTCACGATGCGATCGACCCGCAAGTCGATCTGCGATCCTTTTACCCTGAACACGAATAAGAAACTAGAGGAAACCTATAACCGTATCGATACGATTTGCTCTCTCGAGAGGAGACGCGGGAACGAGCGTCGTCGAGTCGCATCACGAAAAGACAATGAAAAAGACGTCGACGAGGTGCTCTTGTTAGCCGGTTATTATCATTAATTAAACAGCAGCCGCGTTATCGCGGCTCACGCGACGCGATGTCACGATATTAAGATAACACCGCGTAACACCGTAAAGACCTCGAGTCGGTATCGGAGAACTGACGGATGTGCTTCTCCTCGCCTGTGTATCGTTCATTATGTATCGAAGATCGATCATCAATTGTCTCTCTCTCGCTTGGGAAATTGCTGGCTGCGATCAGGGCGGAAAGTAATCCACGTGGCGATTTCTACCCTCCGGTATCTCGTAAATTAAAGTGTGTGTGAAGCTAGCATATCATTTCGTGGAAGATTATAAATAATTAAGAGTTCTGGCTTTATTTTCAATAGTTCTAGAGTTCTTGATAGTTTAAACAAATAG